GAAAGTGCGCGGTACAAATGAAAATTTATAAATATCTGTGTGACAGGTTACTATATTTGAAAATATCCGTGTTACAGGTTACTAATTTTGTAAACATCCGTGTTACAGGTTACTAATTTTACCGATTTTGTGTTCGAACGACGTAAAATTCTCCTATCTGGTGCCCATCGAGTGTCGGCGGGGACGGCCACCAGGTTATGCATGATCTTGTGGAAGAAGGTGAGACGTTGATCTCTACGACAGATTAAAAATGGTTGCCATTTTAGTTCTTGCAACATTTTAGTGACACTACTTTTCGACGAATAATCGTTACACAAATCGAGCGACACGACGTTGCACTACTTCAATTTTATTTACTTCATTTTGGAGCTGCAGGTCCCAAACAGTACCTGCATAGTCGTATACAGATCGAATAAGTGAAACATATGCTTCTCTTTGAATTCTTTACGACTGTGTCTTAAGTTTCGACGAATAAATCCTAGAATACTACTGGCACGGTTACATGTTTTGTTAATATGTGTTGACCATTTGAGATCTTCGCTGGTCTGTACACCGAGGTAGGGATTGTCTTGTACCTATTTTAGTATATGATTATTGAAGTAAGTGATCTTGGTAGTTTCTAATTTGACGATTAAGAAGAAAACAGTCTGCGAATAAACGTACTTGTGATGTGACACTAGGTGGTAAGTCATTGATGTGACACAGAACAAGTATCGGCCCCAATACAGTACCCTGTGGGAGTCCAGAGTCGACTTTACAGGGGGATGATGCTTCACCTTCGACAATTACACTCTGGTAACTGTCCAGTAGGACAGATGACATCCAGTTTAAAATAGGTTCTACAATTCCATAATTCTTGAGTTTATATAACAGTTTTCTATGAGGTACCGTGTCATTAAGTCCACTTGTTGGTTACTATCATACATGTCCATGGTGTCGTTCATCGTTATAAGGAGTAATCACAAGAATGACCACTTCTAAATCCGTGCTGTAACGATGCTAGAATGTTATGTTGTTCAAGATGTTTGAGAATATGATGACAGATAATATGTTGTAATGTTTTACAACAAACACTTGTTAATGGCACTGGCCGATAGTTACTAGGTTCATATATATTTCCTTTTTTAAAAGTTGGAGATATATTTGCATTTATCCAGTCTGCAAGTAAAATTCCTGAAGAAAACTTTGTCGGAAAATATGTTACTGCTGGAGCTAGCTTTCTGGAGCATTCCCGGAGTATTATATATGGGCTATTGTCTGGTCCACTAGCTTTTTTGGTATTAGGATTCCGTAGTATTTTTTTTACGCCTTCCTCCGTGACGTTTAGATCTACGATTCTCGGAAAACACTTTTCATTTAGAATAGGTAGTTGTTCATTTTCGGATTCTGTTGCAAATACAGATTTGAATTGGTCATTCAGAATTTCGGCTTTTGTTTTACTCTCTTGGAACAGTATGCCGTTACGTTAGAGTCCAGCTACACCAATGCTGTCACTACGCTTATCTTTTATTTTCAAAAAGACTTATTGTTACCTTTTTCCAGTGAGTCCGTTAGCGATTCATTTACATAGTTCCAATGTGCATTTCTGATTTCTCGTTGAACAGTACCCTTATGTGTTTTAAATTTCTCACAGTCCTCCGAAGACTTGGTCTGTTTTGCACGCTGGTGAAGTTTATGTTTTAACCTGATTTTTACGTTCAATGATTTAGTTATCCATGTGTTTTCTAGACGTCAATCTTGCTGGAACTGAAAATTCCAGCCCGTTTTCATTGAGTTTGTATCTGTTATTACAGATACTAAGCTTTCTAAACGTTGTTTAATACTGTCCCACTTTGCACGTTTGTAGTTAAAGATGTTGCGCCTTTCAGGAATGTTAAACTTGTCTGAGTCAACTAAGACCATGTCATGATCGGATATATCCGGCACAGTGTGGAAAGTTTCCACAAGGCTTGGCTGAGATGTGAAATGCAAATCCAAGTTATGATCCAACCTAGTAGTGTTCAATTGCACTTGTTCAAGTCCGTGATCTTCCATTATATCAAGTAGAGAATAGTGTTGATTCCTACGCGTTACCAAGCTAGTACAGTATGAAATTTCGGCGATTCCTTAGATGAGATGAGATAGTCACCGAAACCAGAAAAAGAAATGATTTTGGTTTTTAATCTCGATTGAAAGCTTTTTACTTGCACTGGCAGCTTTATTTTTTGCATTTTGATTGTATATTGAAAGAGAGTACTGAGCTTTTATTTCTAACATCATGTTTTTTAACCATTTCAAGATACTTTTCCTCATATACATTTTCTAAATCCAAAACTGTGTGCATGCATTTCTGTCAGATACGAAAAGCACACAATGAACCAAATCTTACATTTGATGGCATTAAATTTCCTGTTGTTGAACAAACCAAATTTCATTTTTGATTCGGAACTCCCTTTCATACCATATATAAAGTATCTAGAAGATAAGTATTTAACATTATACGAGTCCTTTCTCATTTTTGGTTCGGAACTCTCTTTCATACCACATATAAAGTATCTAAAAGATAAGTGTTTAACATCATACGAGTCCTTTCTCATACTGATTGGTGAGCGGACCGTGAAATGCTTTTGCGCCTATACAGATCACTTATTCGAAATAAAAAAACTCGATTATGGTTCTATGGTATATGGGTCGGCGCGCAGTTCTTACCTGCAGATGCTAGACGCAATCCATAATCAAGGGCTACGTAGAACTCCACATAAAGTTGACTGCCATAGCTGAACTTAACATATCTGATGTTCCTCCATGGACCATACAAACACCTAATTTTAACTTTACATTACATAAGCGAGGGAAATGTAGTGTAATGCCCGAAGAACACAAATCCTCCTTTCGGGAATGCATTTCGAAGTACCCTTCTCGTATACAACTTTACACCGATGGTTCCAAAGAAGGTGCGAAAGTGGCAGCAGCCTGCTGTACTGCTAATTCTTGCACTTCAGTTCGACTACCAGACGGCACCTCCATCTTTTCTGCCGAAGCATGCGCCATTTGTTTGGCCTTCGACCAATCGATTAACACCGCATTAAAAAGGCAATCATTTGTTCTGACTCTCTATCTGTCCTACAGAGTTTACAGTTACGAGATCCTAAAAACACACTCATACAAAACCTTGCTCTTCGAATATCTCGTATCTTAAAAAAGTCTAAAAATAACTTGACTATGGATTCCGAGCAATGTCGGAATTAAAGGCAACGAATTTGTTGACTGATGAGCAAAAATGCGTTAAATCTCCAACAAATAAATATACAGATTTCAAACCTATCATTCGCACAGCCATTCAAATGAATGGCAGCCACGCTGGTCTATCGAGGCCAACAACAAACTTGTTAAAGTACAACCGAAACTTAAAACGTACGTGGAAGTAGGAAAGATCGTAGAGAGGAAGTTGTCCTCGCTCGGCTCCGTACTGGGCACACATATCCTACTCATTCGTACCTTTTAAAACGAGAAGATCCATCTACATGCCACGCATGTGATACTCCATTTACAGTGGAACATTTTTAATAGAATGTTCCGATTTTAAACACACTCGTATTCTCGAGTCCCGGATATGAAAACATTTTTCAGTTCCGTGGACTCGAAGGCATTATTTAACTATTTGAAAGACATCGGTTTATTCTATAGACTCTAATGCCTGTAACCCACCTAACCCTCTTTGACGTTATAATATATTTCACATATTCTATATAATCTATTCATTATATCTCTCTTTCTATTTTAACCCTTTTTTATTGTAATTATTTACACATATCATGCGAACGCTTTATAAAATATTCACTTTTATCTGATTTTATATTTACTACTTACATGTTTGTTTAACAAACAAAATAAATCAGCATGGCCCTTAATAAACACAAACATACAAACAAACCTCATATAAAACAGATGAATTAAATTTCCAGTCCCCTAGCACACTTGAATAAATTAAATTTTAAAACAACTCAAGGAAATGAGTTAAATCAGATTTATGAACAATAGATAACCATTAATTTGTCTGAAATAAGAAAAGATCTACTCAAGTCTGCGTGTTTCGTCCTCCGGGTATATCTTTTACCGCGGACTTAGGTAGCCATCTAATTCCAAGCTTTTACTATCTTAACGCAACTCTCTAAAATATCAACCGACGACGTTGACATATAATAATGTGACACTGGGTTTACTGTTTTATACGATGATTGATCAAATGTCTTACATGTGTATGTAATATGCTAATTAATGTAATTATCAATATAAATCAACTACTGTGATCTAATATTTGTTAATAACTCTTTTTTTTTTTTTTTAACAAACCATAACATACATATCATGCATTATTTTCCTGTTTAAAAGGTGGTTTTAGAAAAATTTGATGTTTGGTAATGGTATTACACTACATGGGCCTCCATAGTTTTACAAAAGTAGTTGAAATATGGCTGATGTTTTATGGTGAAATTAACTTATGATTTGACTTTAAAGTTGTGATTATCAGTCTTTTGGAGCAGTTTCGTTAACTTTCAACAATCCCACTACCTAAAATGAGTTCTAAGGAAGATTTTGACTGATATTTCCTTGTAAATCGACGATATGTTATTTCCTGCATAACGTGTAATTAATGCAATTAAAACAATATTTACGAACTGAATTCAACTGAAAGCTAATACATCATCTGTTACTCATTTCCTAAGGATCGTAGTGATACCTAAATAAGGTCTATCGAGCTAAAATTCAAGAAATTATGACCTTTTGTAACTTAGTTGAAAGGAGACTAATTTACATGAACCTTAACAGATGTCTCGTAAGTAGTCATGAAGTTATATGTACACCAAATTCACACAATTTCCCTCGATAATAGTTTACCTTGACAAAGTCTGCAGAGCCAAAAAGATCACGATTGACCTGGTCCGATTGTCAAAATGGCAGGCTGGACTCTTTAAAACAAAATAAATTCACGTTCCTTACTTTAGTATAAATGATAACGTTGAAACCTTCAGGTTACAAATCGAGGTGAATCTGAATGTGAAGTGTGTCATCTAGTTACAGAGTTACTGTTTGAAGGGCTACCTGACAGTGATGGAGTTGTGTGTGGACTCTGTTGAGTCCGCCCTAAACGCTGAGGAAGGTGGTAAGAACGAGTAAGGCTGGAGAAAGTATACGAGTAGCACATGACATGTGCACCATTTAGCTTACTTATGGGTAAAAAACACCGTTCACAGGGAGATAACTCCTATGAAATTAAGTGCACCTTTAGAATTTAACTCTGACATCGTATATTTTAAAAAGCATAAATACTCATACGATGTTTTAGTATTTCCATATTTGAAAACAGGGGGAAATTCTGTTGATAAAATCTGAAGAAAGTAATTGTGATTTGTGAATCAATTTTAAGAAACAAAAATAAGATATAGACTCTATGCATACCCTAAAGATATATATTGGTGCTGCTTGTTGAACAAAATATGGAACTTTCCCAGTGGAGAATTAATACATTATAATTTAAAGACGTAAAAATATGATTAAGATTATTTTAAGTATACAATTGCTGAAAATGAAATATTCTTATTCTGAAATTTTAAGCCTGAGTTTTCTCTGGCCCTGACACCAGACTTAAGCTTCTACACATTCAGACAGATACACGTCTGGAGTGGGCGTATAATTATCCGACAACGTATGGTTTTGGAAAGTTTTGAGGTGAACACATTGCTATGACACAACACATACCTCACATATATACTACAGATATTAGAAACTGCCTCTTTCTCTTATCGAAGCGCAAATGTGTCCGTAGTCTATTTGGGTGGCATCAAGCTCATTGCTACGGCCTACGTTGTCATTAGAGAATTTCCGAAATAAAAATGACGGTGGCTATTACTCATCATTGAAAAGACTTTCTTAGGGTCTTAAGTATTACACATTATCAAATTTATTTAGATTAATTGCATTGACCAACTTTAAAAGTCGGATGAATAAGATATATTGAAATTTCACAAAAAGATCCATAAGACACAGAGTACTGAACTTATACCTGCAATGTTAGCTTACATGCTATACATTTGGTTTATATATGTTTTATCCACTTTGAAGGTCCCAGATGTAATATATGTTTGCAAACACCATGCACAACAGTTGAGCAATACAGGCCCAGTGGGCCCTTGTTCTCAAGAATAGTACTAGCTCAGAATATTAGACAGAACATCTCTCTGCATTGTGCAAAATCTTGAACAATGCAAATTGTTAAATTACAATTGCTGGTCGCCAACAAATTGTAAATACCAATGTACATAGAGAGTGTTCGCCAAGCTAACAGTCTTGTGATGTATATTTTAACACTAGACATCAAGTATCAATAAAATGAATTACCTTAACTGAGCGAGATCGGGTTATCTCAGTCGACGGTCAAGAGTCTGTAATACAATCCCAACCGAGGCGTAAGCTGAGGCGTAAAACACTGTCTTAATACAGCAATAAGTTCCTCCCATTACGAATCACAGGTATCATGTTAAACTCTGAAAACAGAGCGCTAGTGGCAATGACTGAGTATCTAGTCTTAATGAGACTTAAATTTGCCCCTCTAGGTGCAACACGTGTAGAGTTGTGCGGTTCACTGGTGGAGGGCGGAACTACTCCCAGTCTGGGTAAGTGTGTCACCATATATAGAGTCGTGTGGTTCACTGGTGGAGGGCGGAACTACTCCCAGTCTGGGTAAGTGTGTCACCATATATAGAGTCGTGTGGTTCACTGGTGGAGGGCGGAACTACTCCCAGTCTGGGTAAGTGTGTCACCATATATAGAGTTGTGTGGTTCACTGGTGGAGGGCGGAACTACTCCCAGTCTGGGTAAGTGTGTCACCATATATAGAGTTGTGTGGTTCACTGGTGGAGGGCGGAACTACTCCCAGTCTGGGTAAGTGTGTCACCATATATAGAGTTGTGTGGTTCACTGGTGGAGGGCGGAACTACTCCCAGTCTGGGTAAGTGTGTCACCATATATAGAGTTGTGTGGTTCACTGGTGGAGGGCGGAACTACTCCCAGTCTGGGTAAGTGTGTCACCATATATAGAGTTGTGTGGTTCACTGGTGGAGGGCGGAACTACTCCCAGTCTGGGTAAGTGTGTCACCATATATAGAGTTGTGTGGTTCACTGGTGGAGGGCGGAACTACTCCCAGTCTGGGTAAGTGTGTCACCATATATAGAGTTGTGTGGTTCACTGGTGGAGGGCGGAACTACTCCCAGTCTGGGTAAGTGTGTCACCATATATAGAGTTGTGTGGTTCACTGGTGGAGGGCGGAACTACTCCCAGTCTGGGTAAGTGTGTCACCATATATAGAGTTGTGTGGTTCACTGGTGGAGGGCGGAACTACTCCCAGTCTGGGTAAGTGTGTCACCATATATAGAGTTGTGTGGTTCACTGGTGGAGGGCGGAACTACTCCCAGTCTGGGTAAGTGTGTCACCATATATAGAGTTGTGTGGTTCACTGGTGGAGGGCGGAACTACTCCCAGTCTGGGTAAGTGTGTCACCATATATAGAGTTGTGTGGTTCACTGGTGGAGGGCGGAACTACTCCCAGTCTGGGTAAGTGTGTCACCATATATAGAGTTGTGTGGTTCACTGGTGGAGGGCGGAACTACTCCCAGTCTGGGTAAGTGTGTCACCATATATAGAGTTGTGTGGTTCACTGGTGGAGGGCGGAACTACTCCCAGTCTGGGTAAGTGTGTCACCATATATAGAGTTGTGTGGTTCACTGGTGGAGGGCGGAACTACTCCCAGTCTGGGTAAGTGTGTCACCATATATAGAGTTGTGTGGTTCACTGGTGGAGGGCGGAACTACTCCCAGTCTGGGTAAGTGTGTCACCATATATAGAGTTGTGTGGTTCACTGGTGGAGGGCGGAACTACTCCCAGTCTGGGTAAGTGTGTCACCATATATAGAGTTGTGTGGTTCACTGGTGGAGGGCGGAACTACTCCCAGTCTGGGTAAGTGTGTCACCATATATAGAGTTGTGTGGTTCACTGGTGGAGGGCGGAACTACTCCCAGTCTGGGTAAGTGTGTCACCATATATAGAGTTGTGTGGTTCACTGGTGGAGGGCGGAACTACCCCAGTCTAGGTAAGTGTGTCACACATTTTATGAGTAATAGTATCATAGCTACACTAAGGAAAGCTTCATGTTAACAAATAGGGATGTGACAGAATTGAGGACCATTTACTACCCGATAGAGGACTAAACTTGAAAAAACTGCAAAAGGTTCGGACGTCGAGTTAGCATTGTTATATATTTTAGTTTTGTGCAGGAACATTGTTGATTGACATCAAATGTTGGCTAGAGAAAATTATAACAGGCCATCACGATTCTGAGTAACACCATGTCTCCCAACACGTTCCTTTCCTGTCCGAATTGCCTATTCGGTAAACTCAGGTTTTCAATAGAAAATAAGGACATAAAACAAAAGCAACTACAGTCAGTATGATGTCACACAGCAGCATGCTATTTCCGTGTATTCAGTTTAAATCAATTAGTGATACCTTCCGGTCAAAGCATTACAGTTACTCCCTACATGTTACCAACTTGTCATGTTTACCAATACTTTGTATGTGAGTGAAAGCCAGCGCATTTGTTAGTATTGGGATAGTTACGAGAATGATACACTGCACATGTTTCGACTGATAACATTTCTATTGTCTGGTTTGTTTTTATTTGTTTGTTTGTTTAAAGTTTAACAGCTATAACCATATAATGAAATGCCTCCATGTGTGTTGTGTGTGCATGCATGTGTATGTGTGCTGGAGGTAGGGTATGTTCGTGTAATTGCCTCCTTGCGATAGCGCGGATCTGATGCCAACTTTATAGTGCTATCTCACTGAAATACCATGCCGAAGGCACCCAGCACAGAATTCCACCCAGTCACATTATGCTGACAACGGGTAAACCAGTTGTTTACATAACCATAAATGCTTAACTTTAAGCAGGGAATAATAACAACTACCATATTTAAGGACTTTGGTATGTCCCAGCCTGGGAACAGAACCCATTGCCGTCCATACCTGGGCAGACGTTCAACATTACAGCCAAACATGGACTTTTGCCATGCAAGGCGCTAGGAAATAAACGGTAATTAGAAGTAGAGAGAACTTGAAAAATACGAAATATTGCAATGGGTGAAGCAGACTTATGTTGGTCGCTTTAGCAAATCCCCAATTCTGCAGGGGTTTCTGACATTCGTGGCCATAACAGCAGGTGTATTCTTTTCTCGATCCCTGACCTGCAGGGGTGTATATTGTGATGTATTATCAATATCAGATCCGTTATATTCGTTAACAATAGGTAGATATTTACACTGTGAAAAAAGATAGGAATGACGATAGTGTGTAGCAGTGGGATAAACTTCTATACACAATACCACAATTTGTTCTCATCAGGTCTTTTCCGGATCGTCAAGTCCCGCCTTTCCATACCAGTGTTTGTAATAATCAGACCACGTGGCGGGGACTTCCTGTACAGCGACGCAGAAGTAGGAGTAATGAAGGAAGACATTTCCCTGTTTACGTCATCACCTGACCGACCGGACGGCTTTGTGATCGGCTGTTTGAACGTGTAAATAAAACTTTTATGTCCATTTTTAGGCCTCCTTCATCAGATATCGGGCTGTTTAAGCGCCTTTCGTGTATGTTCTGGTGTTCGTCCGGTCCTCGTCCGTCCTTAAATATTTATTGTTATCTCTATTTCTAAAGAAAAAAACAAGATGGGTCTTTCTCAAAATTTGCATGTAGTTTCACCTTAGTCATTGTTGTGCATGTTTAATTTTGAGGCTGATAACAAGAACTAGATAGCTGTCAGGTGAACATTCTGGATTTTGACAGTTGAAGTTTTGTTATCACAATTCCTGAAGAAATGCTGAACAGATCACCCTTAAACTTGATATTTGTATGCTCACCCTTTGTCCTTAACTGTGCATGCTAAACTTTGGGGGTAGTCAGGAGACCAAGATGCCAGTTGACAACTTACAAAATTGTTTCGCGCCATTTGTCAGAAAAATCAAAAGGGATCTTTCTCCATTCTGTTCGTCTTGGTCCTTAGTAGTAAGTGCTTTATTTCCAGGCTGATGGGAAGAACAAAATGGCTGCCAGGTGATGTTTTGACAGTTGAAGTTTAAGGATATATTATGGAAAATACTAGAGGGTTCATTTTCAAATTACATAAGTACATTCTATTGTCATCATGTTCAGGTTTAGAACTAATCACAAGATTAAGGTGGCAATCAGATGACCTTCCTGGAATTTGGCAGTAATGCCGGGATCTTATCTGAGGTTTCTTTCCCCTCTTATAAAATGAAAGATGGCGATCCGGCAGGCATCCCTAATTTGACCAATTATTCAGAGGTGTGTTACCACTGTTTGGAGAAGAATAGATTTTCTCAAGTTCAATAGGTAGGTTTTTGTATGTATCTATTTGGCTCGACCAGAAGAAAAACAGATATTGACTGATTTTTTTATTTTATTTTTCAGAGATGGAACAGTGAACACTGTTCTCTGTAAGGAGTTCATTGGTACGTATGACCGTTTACTACATTTCATTGGTACGTATGACCGTTTCCTATAGTTCATTGGTACGTATGACCGTTTACTACATTTCATTGGTACGTATGACCGTTTCCTATAGTTCATTGGTACGTATGACCGTTTACTACATTTCATAGGTACGTATGACCGTTTACTACATTTCATTGGTACGTATGACCGTTTACTACATTTCATAGGTACGTATGACCGTTTACTACATTTCATTGGTACGTATGACCGTTTACTACTTTTCATTGGTACGTATGACCGTTTACTATAGCTCATTGGTACGTATGACCGTTTACTATAGTTCATTAGTACGTATGACCGTTTACTATAGTTCATTGGTACGTATGACCGTTTCATTTAGGTCCTTGGTACGTATGACCGTTTAATTTAGGTCATTGGGACGTAGAACCGTTTACTATAGTTCATTGGTACTTATGCCCGTTTACTATAGCTCGTTAGTACTTATGACCGTTTACTATAGTTCATTGGTACGTATTACCGTTTAATTTAGGTCATTGGTACGTATGACCGTTTAATATAGGTCATTGGTACGTATAACCGTTTACTATAGTTCATTGGTACTTTTGACCGTTTACTATAGTTCTTGGTACGTATGACCGTTTACTATAGTTCATTAGTACGTATGACCGTTTACTATAGTTCATTGGTGCGAATGACCGTTTACTATAGTTGATTGGTACGTATGACCGTTTAATTTAGGTCATTGGTACGTATGACCGTTTAATTTAGGTCATTGGCACGTAGAACCGTTTACTATAGTTCATTGGTACTTATGCCCGTTTACTATAGCTCGTTAGTACTTATGACCGTTTACTATAGTTCATTGGTACGTATTACCGTTTAATTTAGGTCATTGGTACGTATGACCGTTTAATATAGGTCATTGGTACGTATAACCGTTTACTATAGTTCATTAGTACTTATGACCGTGTACTATAGTTCATTGGTACGTATAACCGTTTACTATAGTTCATTAGTACTTATGACCGTGTACTATAGTTCATTGGTACGTATAACCGTTTACTATAGTTCATTAGTACTTATGACCGTTTATTATAGTTCATTGGTACGTATAACCGTTTACTATAGTTCATTGGTGCGTATGACTGTTTACTATAGTTCATTGGTACGTATAACCGTTTACTATAGTTCATTGGTGCGTATGACCGTTTACTACATTTCATTGGTATGTATAACCGTTTACTATAGTTCATTGGTACGTATGACCGTTTCATTTAGGTCCTTGGTACGTATGACCGTTTAATTTAGGTCATTGGTACGTAGACCCGTTTACTATAGTTCATTGGTACTTATGACCGTTTACTATAGTTCATTGGTACTTGGTACGTATGACCGTTTACTATAGTTCATTGGTACGTATAACCGCTTACTATAGTTCATTGGTGCGTATGACCGTTTACTACATTTCATTGGTACGTATGACCGTTTCCTATAGTTCATTGGTACGTATGACCGTTTACTATAGTTCATTAGTACGTATGACCGTTTACTATAGTTCATTGGTGCGAATGTCCGTTTACTATAGTTCATTGGTACGTATGACTGTTTAATTTAGGTCATTGGTACGTAGAACCGTTTACTATAGTTCATTGGTACTTATGCCCGTTTACTATAGCTCGTTAGTACTTATGACCGTTTACTATAGTTCATTGGTACTTGGTACGTATGACCGTTTACTATAGTTCATTGGTACGTATGACCGTTTAATTTAGGTCATTGGTACGTATGACCGTTTAATTTAGGTCATTGGTACGTATAACCGTTTACTATAGTTCATTGGTACTTATGACCGTTTACTATAGTTCATTAGTACTTATGACCGTTTACTATAGTTCATTGGTACGTATAACCGTTTACTATAGTTCATTGGTGCGTATGACCGTTTACTATAGTTCAATGGTACGTATGACCGTTTAATTTAGGTCAGTGGTACGTATAACCGTTTACTATAGTTCATTGGTACTTATGACCGTTTACTATAGTTCATTGGTGCGTATGACCGTTTACTACATTTCATTGGTATGTATGACCGTTTACTATAGTTCATTGGTACGTATGACCGTTTACTATAGTTCTTTGGTACGTATGACCGTTTACTACAGTTCATTGGTGCGTATGACCGTTTAATTTAGGTCATTAGTACGTATAACCGTTTACTATAGTTCATTGGTACTTATGACCGTTTACTATAGTTCATTGGTGCGTATGACCGTTTAATTCAGGTCATTGGAACGTATAACCGTTTACTATAGTTCATTGGTACTTATGACCGTTTGCTATAGTTCATTGGTGCGTATGACTGTTTACTATAGTTCATTGGTACGTATGACCGTTTGCTATAGTTCATTGGTACTTATGACCGTTTACTATAGTTCATTGGTACTTATGACTGTTTACTATAGTTCATTGGTACGTTTAACCGTTTACTATAGTTTATTGGTACTTATGACCGTTTACTATAGTTCATTGGTGCGTATGACTGTTTACTATAGTTCATTGGTACGTATGACCGTTTGCTATAGTTCATTGGTACTTATGACCGTTTACTATAGTTCATTGGTACTTATGACTGTTTACTATAGTTCATTGGTACGTATAACCGTTTACTATAGTTTATTGGTACTTATGACCGTTTACTATAGTTCATTGGTGCGTATGACTGTTTACTATAGTTCATTGGTACGTATGACCGTTTGCTATAGTTCATTGGTACTTATGACCGTTTACTATAGTTCATTGGTACTTATGACTGTTTACTATAGTTCATTGGTACTTATGACTGTTTACTATAGTTCATTGGTACGTATAACCGTTTACTATAGTTCATTGGTACGTATGACCGTTTACTATAGTTCATTGGTGCGTATAACCGTTTACTATAGTTCATTGGTGCGTATGACCGTTTACTATAGTTCATTGGTACTTATGACCGTGGTTCTACTTCAACAAACGAGTTTAAGGACATTTCACTTTTATTGCGTTTCTTTTTATTTCTTTTCATCTCGTTATTTTTCTTCAACTGAATGGTTTTCTGGAATTTCCACCAGAGTCTTCTTACAGGATACTAATAGAAAAACATGAAAAACATGAGAAATGGTATAGAATGGTATAGATGTGCACATTTCTTCTTCCGATTGAACATCTAGCATTCTGGTTGACGTTTGATCGACCGAGACATATTCGGCAATACCTTTGTTTTATTGCAGAGAAAGTAATGAAAATTCAGTGCAGATAATTAAACAGTTGAGACAGTTTATTTGGCCTTCACAATCTACTGATTCTTATGAAGGTCTCTCCAAGTGTGAAAATAACCTATCGGCATTTCTTAATATTATGTCTGAAATCAATCAGATTTGGTCTGTAAGTGTATTATGGCACTATGAACATTATCGCTTCTTCCGTTTAACCGGTGAAATGGCTTCTGATTATGTGAATTAACATGTGTTGTAATATTGCTAGCAAATTCTGATGATTCGTTTTCGACTTATTGGACAGTTTGTGGGACTATTTTAACGATCCTCCTTACAATAACACGGTATTCTTCTTTCTCCTTCCTTTTCTTCTTCTAAATTACCTAAATCAAATTGTTTCCTGAGATATCCTTAAAGACTGTTAGCAGGACACTAATGAAACATCACATGAGTATTAATATGTGTGTAGATGTGCATATTGCATTACTTGTTCCACATCAGACATGGCCACCGCGGCTCCACATCAGACATGGCCACCGCGGCTTCTGATTCTATGATTTGTAACGAAAGTTGGTAAAAGAGATGTTAACGCGATACTCTGTTAGCGTGAATCATCAAAGTAAACATTGTCGGCATCAAGGCCGCAGTGGTCAGGCTTCAAATGGTAGAAATGTAGATGTTATTTGTATATAGGTGTATCGTGATACCGCAATCTCTTACTCAGTTAGTCATTGAACAAAATGGCCGCCGTTGCCTGGGTTCTGTTTGGTTGAAATGAAGATATATTTTCGAATTTGCTCAAGTTTAGTATGTACATATTATGTAAGAGCGTTGGGACTACGCAAACTGCCATAAAATAGTTTTCGATTGGTCGAAGTTCAGATATTGTTTTATTTTGCTCAAATTTGTATGTAGGTCTGTTTTGGAATTTAAAGTTCTTTCAGTTGCATCAATAGAGGTTCATGTATGGGAAATAACGGCCAACGTTACCAGTAGAATTTGTTTTCTTTAAATGTTAAAGCCAAATTTTGAAATAAAACATAATGTTGGTAAGTTTTCACTACCACTTTCCCTTCTTTCAGCCCTGGCGCGGCCTTCAAAGATGACATTTCACAGAGGTATGTAGCGATCAAAACCAAATTCTGTACAATATGTGAAGTATTAAACTGTTTAGCTCAAACAAGAAGTATGATTGATGTATAATTTCTGAATCACATAATTCTGTAAAATGACTAGGACTTATAAAATGGTTATTAATTGATTACAAAAACAATAAAAAAAATAGTTTCTCCTTTTGAAATACATAAAGGAAATTGTTACAATAAGATGTATTACATTCAGCACTGACATTTGCCCTTATTGAATAGCATAATGGGACAATGACTTCCAAGCTTGTTCAACACACTGATACTGTACACTGTGTCTGAGTGTGTTGTACACTATGTCTGAGTGTGTTGTACTCTGTGTCTGAGTGTGTTGTACACTGTGTCTGAGTGTGTTGTACACTGTCTGAGTGTGTTGTACAATGTATATGAGTGTGTTGTACACTGTGCCTGAGTGTGTTGTACACTGTGTCTGAGTGTGTTGTACACTGTGTCTGAGTGTGTTGTAAACTGTGCCTGAGTGTGTTGTTAACTGTGTCTGAGTGTGTTGTACACTGTGTCTGAGTGTGTTGTACCCTGTGCCTCAGTGTGTTGTACACTGTGTCTGAGGGTGTTGTACACTGTGTCTGAGGGTATTGTACACTGTGTCTCAGTATGTTGTACACTGTGTCTCATTGTGTTGTACACTGTGTGTCAGTATGTTGTACACTGTGTCTCATTGTGTTGTACACTGTGTGTCAGTATGTTGTACACTGTGTCTGAATATGTTGTACACTGTCTGAGTGTGTTGTGCAATGTATATGAGTGTGTTGTGCACTGTGCCTGAGTGTGTTGTTACCTGTGTCTGAGTGTGTTGTACCCTGTGCCTCAGTGTGTTGTACACTGTGTATGATTGTGTTGTACACTGTGTCTGAATGTGTTGTACACTGTCTGAGTTTGTTGTACTCTGTTTCAGTATGTTGTACACTGTTTCAGTGTGTTGTACACTGTCTGAGAGTGTTGTACACTGTATCTGAGTGTCTTGTATACTGTGTCTGAGTGGGTTGTACACTGTATCTGAGTGGATTGGATACTGTGTCTGAGTGGGTTGTACACTGTGTCTGAGTGCGTTGTAAACTGTGCCTGAGTGTGTTGTTAACTGTGTCTGAGGGTGTTGTACACTGTGTCTGAGTGCGTTGTAAACTGTGCCTGAGTGTGTTGTTAACTGTATCTGAGTGTGTTGTACACTGTATCTTTGTTGTACACTGTATCTGAGTGGATTGGATACTGTGTCTGAGTGGGTTGTACACTGTATCTGAGTGTGTTGTACACTGTATCTGTGTTGTACACTGTATCTGAGTGGATTGGATACTGTGTCTGAGTGGGTTGTACACTGTATCTGAGTGTGTTGTACACTGTTCCAGTGTGTTGTACACTGTCTGTGTGTGGTGTACACTGTCTCAGTATGTTGTGCACTGTCTGAGTGTGTTGTTCACTGTTCCAGTGTGTTGTACACTGTCTCAGTATTTGTACACTGTTTCAGTATGTTGTACATTGTTTCAGTATGTTGTACATTGTTCCAGTATGTCTGAGTGTATTGTATACTGTGTCTGAGTGGGATGTACACTGTGTCTGAGTGTGTTGTACACTGTGTCTGAGGGTGTTGTACACTGTGTCTGAGGGTGTTGTACACTGTGTCTGAGGGTGTTACACTGTCTGAGTTTGTTGTACACTGTTTCAGTAACACACTGATACTGTACACTGTGTCTGAGTGTGTTGTACACTGTGTCTGAGTGTATTGTACACTTTGTCTGAGTGTGTTGTACACTATGTCTCATTGTGTTGTACACTGTGTGTCAGTATGTTGTACACTGTGTCTGAATATGTTGTACACTGTCTGAGTGTGTTGTACACTGTGTCTGAGGGGGTTACACTGTCTGAGTTTGTTGTACACTGTTTCAGTAACACACTGATACTGTACACTGTGTCTGAGTGTGTTGTACACTGTGTCTGAGGGGGTTACACTGTCTGAGTTTGTTGTACACTGTTTCAGTATGGTGTACACTGTTCCAGTGTGTTGTACACTGTGTGTGGTGGTTCAGTATGTTGTACGTTGTTTCAGTATGTTGTACACTGTTTCAATATGTTGTACACTGTTCCAGTGTGTTGTCCACTGTCTGAGTTTGTTGTACGCTGTTTCAGTAACACACTGCTACTGTACACTGTGTCTGAGTGTGTTGTACACTGTGTCTGAGGGGGTTACACTGTCTGAGTTTGTTGTACACTGATCCAGTATGTTGGACACTGTTCCAGTGTGTTGTACACTGTCTGAGTTTGTTGTACACTGTTTCAGTATGTTGTACACTGTTCCAGTGTGTTGTACACTGTCTGAGTTTGTTGTACGCTGTTTCAGTATGTTTTACACTGTTCTATCTGCATATAAGATCTCTAACTTTGACATTATTACTATTTTAACAGACAACAAGATATTTCGAGTGATTCTACTCTGACGTCAATTGATCACTACTGGTCGAATCATCGTTGTAGATCCTCATGCCAAATTTTCTTTCTGGTTTCAGCATTTTTATTCACGCTCCATCCCACAACTTCTTCGTCATAACTAAAAAGAATCGGGATGTTGAGATTTGGTCAGTAGTATGCTGAAAAGAAAGCAACAAAATTTGTTCAAATGAACGACCTTCTTTCATATTCAATGTCACAGGGGTCAATTGTCTTAAAATTAACCTTTAAACAACTTCTTCTGAATAACCAAAAAGACCAGAATATTGATATTTGGTCAGTAGTATGCTGGGATGAAGGGCTACCAAGTCTGTTCAAAGGAATGACCTTATTTTATATTCAAGGTCACAGGGGTCAATTGTTTTAAAAAGAAACTTTAGACAAATACTTCTGAATAACAAAAAGGACGTGGATCCTGATATTTGGTCAGTAACATGCGTGGATGAAGGGCTACCTACTTTGTTCAAATGAATTACCTTCACTCAAACTTCTTTTGAATAACCAAAAGACCAAGGATAATGATATATGGCCAGGAGTATGCTTGGCTGAAGGGCTATCAAGTTTGTTAAAATGAATGACCTTGACTCATATTCAAGGTCACATGCGTCGAACATGTTTAAAATCTTTAAACGACTTCTTCTGAATAACCATAGGGTGCCCGAATGTTGATTCAAGGTCACAGAGTTCAAATTCGATTTTTTCTGAATAACCATAAGACATAGAATGTTGATATCTGTCCAGGTAGCATGCTAGGATGAAGGGCTATCAACCTTTTTCATTTGAATGACCTTTACCCACTTTCAAGTTCAAATTTGGTGAAATATGTATAAACATTTAAAAGACCTTATCACATTAAACAAAAGGTCTAAGGTGGTGATATTTTGCAAGATGCATGCTGATATGAAGGGCTATGAAATTTTTTCAGCGTAATGACCTTGTTTGACTTTTAAGGTCACAGGGGTCAAATTTTTTAATCTGATAACAGGTTCTTTTGAATGATTTATAGTCATAAAAACTGATATTTTTGTCTGTAGCTTTATTTTAGATCACTTTTAAGTTTACACGTGTGAGATTAGTTTTGTTCTAATAAAATGTACCTGTTCTGTGTGTTCCTGTATGTATGTCTTGATAAAGGAGCAGATCGCTCCGAAAACCTCACAACCTTACATTTTCTACACTGTTGCAAATAAAAAAAAATAAAAAAACATACCCATTTTTAATAATCGGCAACTGGATCTGACCAGAGGCAATGTCCAGTTGCATAGTTTTCACTTGTTGGGCGGGAAATAGCACAAACTTTGTAAAACAGCATTACACATACCTGGTATACAGACCCATATTTGGATGTTCGAATTTCATATAATAATAATATACAACATTTGATATGCTGATTGTAAGTTGAATCGTTTAGGTAATCATTTATGTTAAATTATTCGTCAATATAGAAGACGTCAGCTTCAAAGTAAGTATGGTGTTGAAACACTTTTAAGACGTTAGGAGCTCTCATTCGCAGATCAACTCTCGCATCTGACAGCTGAAGGAAACGTCTACTTAGTAACCGACTCCCGCATCTGACAGTTGATGGAAACGTCTACTTAGTAACCGACTCTCGCATGTGACAGTTGATGGAAACGTCTACTTAGTAACCGACTCTCGCATCTGACAGCTGATGGAAACGTCTACTTAGTAACCGACTCTCGCATCTGACAGTTGATGGAAACGTCTACTTAGTAACCGACAGTTGGTCATCTTTACTTTTGCAGCTATCGACATGACCCCTGACCTTGGAGATGCCTTGGAGGCCGTGATTGGTTGTGGGTTTGACCGGGTGTTGACAAGTGGTGGTCAGTCCACTGCCCTCGAAGGACTTCCAGTACTTTCTGACCTTGTCATTCAGGTACAGAAATGGTGTATACAAGTGTTAAACTCCTGTGCTTTTGTAAAACAATCCGTTTGTCTTTTTGGGATTTCATTTCCATTTACTGCAAATAGATTTGGTTTCTTTGTCATTTTGATAACCAACATCTAATTTGTTAACGAAAATGAAAATAAGAAGAAGATTTTAATGAGTTTTCTGAGCTTAATAGCATGACTTCTGTAGCTAATTCTGTTAATCCGAGAAAAAAAGTGAATATGTTTTGGTTACAAAAAAACACTTATATACAACCGTCAGAAATTTGACCAGACTTATTATGGTATGGGGAGCGTCCGTGCGTCCGTCCAATTTGGATGAAACGTGGTATGCATGTACAGTATACTAAGACAGGCTTAGTTTGAACTTGATGAAAATCCACTTATAATTAATTTGCATACTGTGTTCTGATTGGTCTTCGGTTTCCGCACAATAACGTAGTTTAATATGACAGAATACTGATGAAACTTAATATTTGTGTTTTGTCTAATAGTGAGTATTCCTGTAATGAACAATAAAAATACTTTTGGTTTTAATGGTGTAAGATGAATCGATTATAGGCAAAAGGGGTAATTTCAATTTCTATTTCTATTTTCGTTGTTTGAAATATATACAAAGGGAGACATATCCTACGAAAATGTTGTTTCTTTTCCTAACATTTCCACATTTAACACACTTGGATACAATAATGCAGAATGATTTTAAGTATTTGAGACTGGCATGGGACGGGCGTATATTGTTCCGCCCTGCTGTACTCCAGTTTCTATGAAAACAATGACTATGTTATTTATGTTTTACTAGGCAAAAGGCAGAGTGGTCATTATGCCAGGTCAGTATAAATGATAATGAATTTTAATCTAATTATTTCCCCATAAGTCAAATCAGCAGTGTTAACATGATGACACGGTAATTGTGATCGAGTTTGTGTGCGTTCGTGCGTGTGGAGGAGGGGTAGGGTGTAGGGTGTAAGCTCTCTATATAATAAAATTATATTTTCTATGACCGAGGGCTAAATGTGCGCTACCATCCGGACCGAGGGCTAAATGTGCGCTACCATCCGGGCCAACAAGGGTGATTCATATAAGTTGATCGAATTTGTTTCAAAATCGTTTATCAATCAATAATAATCAATAATAATCAATAATAAGATATGTTACCTGTTGACACAGGAACCACGTCTCCAGGATAGGGTAGTCTCTTTGTGTTCACCAATTTGTATATACTTTGTTGCTGGGTTGGATCTAAACCATTTCCAGTCCCTCAGCCCTGTGGTCAGCTCTTTAATTAATTTTAAATCCCAATCGCCTAAGGATTTAGCGAAATTCAAATAGAAGTCGTTTGAAGAAACACTCGTCGTACAGATGGTCGGACGGACGGACAACAGACTCTACGGTACAAGGCTCAACTTAGTCCCTCAGACCTAAAACATTCTTATGATCTGATGCCTGTCATTTTAAATCCTGGAGCACATATATGTAGTTAACATATGTTAATACATTTGTAGTTAAGAACGTTATCTGAGGTGCTAAATAACCAATGAAATTAGTCTGCGTCTGCTTTTATACAGGTGGAGGAATAACGGACCACAACGTTGCAAGGATTGTCCAGGGCTGTGGCTGTACGGAATTTCACTGCTCTGCCCGATCATCTCGTTCCTCATTGATGACTTATCAAAAACAGGGTGTGGCTATAGGCGCTTCACTCTCACCTCCAGAGTTCAGCCTGAAGGCAGCAGATGTATGTAAAATTAGAACAATTTTACTGACGGCCAAAAGTGGAATAAATTAGCTTTAATAATGGTTTTCTATGTTTTCTCGTCTGTATGAAAGTTTTTCTCAAATCAACTTTGATAAATAACAGTACGACATTTAAAATACGCGTAATGTCGAGTGGTTACCTATCACTCCGTTACATTGCCCACACGCCCAAATTATAGTTTTATGTCATTTTAGCAGAAGACCCAAACGACCTATTGTCATCTGCCTTCAACCGTTGATTGTTAACAATTGGCATTTTTGAAATCTCAAGAACGGTAAGGCGTAGGGTGATGGAATTTAGCAAGTAGATAACTGTGATAGAACGGTAAGGCGTAGGGTGATGGAATTTAGCCAGTAGATAACTGAGATAAAACGTTATCAACGTTGTTGATTATGAATAATCTTAATCTTCATTCAATGTCAAAGTGGTCAAATATGTTAAAATATTTAAATGACTTCTTCTGAAGTTCCAAAAGTCTAAGGGTTGAAATTGATGTGTTAAAATATGTTATTTTGACCTTCATTCAAGGTCATAGGAATCAACTGGAATCCAATGGCCTACAACATCTTTCAAGCCATCGGGGTCAACTATGTCGAAATTTGCATACGACTTTTTCTCAAGTACAAAATGTAATATGGTCATGCTATTTCACCAGTACGTAACTGAGAAGACATTCGAATTCGTCCAAATGAACTACCTTGAATTTGAAATGACTTTCTACACTAAGCCTAGGGTCATATTTGGCTTGTACATGTAGGTAGCTTAAGTGAAGGGCTATGTTGGAATCTTCAGAATGTCAAGTTTTTAGCTCACCTGCCCGAAGTGCAGCTGAGCTTATGACATGGCGCGGCGTCCGGCGTCCGTCCGTCCGTCGTCCGGCGTCCGTCGTCTGTCGTCCGGTGTCTGTCCTGCGTCTGTCAACTTTCCTTTAAACGACTTCTTCTAAAGAACCAGAAGGCATAGAGTCATTATATTTGGCTAGTAGCTTCCTTATATGGAGCCCGACAAAGTTTGTGAAAAAAACAGAATTTGACCTACTTTCAAGGTCACAGGGGTCAAATATGTAAATGTAAAAACCTTCAAACAACTTCTTCTGAAATACCGAAAGGTTTAGAGACATGACAATTGGTAGGTAGCTTCCATGGAATAAGCCGAACAAAGTTTGCGAATAAAAATGACCTTGACCTACTTTCAAGGTCACAGGGGTGAAATATGTCAAATGCTTCAAACGCCCTTCTTCTGAAAAACTGAACGGTATCGAATCTTTATATTTGATTGATGGCTTCCTGGGATAGAGCCCGAAAAAGTTGAAAATGACCTTGACCTTCTTTCCAGGTCACAGTGGTGAAATTTGTCAAACACTTCAAACGACTTCTTCTCAAGAACTGAAAGGTATAGAATCTTTATATTTGGCAGGTGACTTCCTGGGATCGAGCCTGACAAAGTTTGAGAATGAAAATGACCTTGACCTACTTTCAAGGTCACAGGGGTCAAATGTGTCAAACACTTCAAACGACTTCTTCTGAAGAATTAAAAGGCATACATTTATAATATTTGGCTGGTGACTTCCTGGGATAGAGCTCAGCAAAGTTTGCGAATGAAAATGACCTTGACTTACTTTCAAGGTCACAGGAGTCGGATATGTCTAATGCTTAAAACGACTTCATTATGAAGAACTGAAAGTTATATAACCTAAATGTGTCGCTGGTGTCTTTCTGGGAAAGAGCCTAACAAAGTTTGAGAATGAAAATGACCTTGACCTACTTTTAAGGTCACAGGAGTCAGTTATGTCTAACGCTTCAAACGACTTCTTCTTAAGAACTGGAAGGTATAGAAGCTTAATATTTGGCTTGAAGCTTCCTAGGAAAGAGCCCGACAAAGTTCGATAATGAAAATGACCTTGACCTACTTTCAAGGTCACAGGAGTCAGTTATGTTTAACGCTTCAAACGACTTCTTCAGAAGAACTGGAAGGTATAGAACCTGAATATTTGGCTTGAAGCTTCCTAGGAAATAGCCCAACAAAGGTTGAGAATGAAAATGACCTTGACCTACTTTCAAGGTCACAGGAGTCAGATATGTCTAACGCTTAGAACAACTTCTTCTGAAGAACTGGAAGGTATAGAACCTTAATATTAGGATGGTTATTTCCTGGGAAAGAGCCCAACAAAGTTTGCGAATGAAAATGACCTTTACTTACTTTCAAGGTCACAGCGTTCAAATATGTCAAACGGTTTAAACTACTTCTTCTAAAGAATTAAAAGGCATAAATTTATAATATTTGGCTGGTGACTTCCTGGGATAGAGCTTACCAAAGATTGCGAATGAAAATGACCTCAACCTACTATAGAGGTCACAGAGGTCAACAACATTCTAAAGGATTTGTTCTTAAGAACTAAAAGACATGGATTCATTAGATTTGGTTGGTAGCTTTTTGGAATAGAGCTTACCAATTTGAGAAGGAAAATGACATTGACCTACTTACAAGGTCACAGGAAAAAATACGTCAAGCAACTTCTGAAGAAGAATCAAAAAGCATAGAATCATATAATAATATTTTGCTGGTAGTTTCAACTGATGGAGCCAAGTTTGCGAGGGAAATATTTTTAGTGCAATATGATATTTAATGAGAAAATTTGCTATGACTGCTTAAATATTCAGGTGAGCGATACAAGCCCTCTTGGGCCTCTTGTTTTGTATTTGGTGCGTTGGATGGAGGGCTATCAAAGTTGTAACAATGAACGTCCTTGACATTCGGAATAAGATTATTGTTGCAGCTGATCAGTGAGACTTTAACTCTTCACTTTTACATCTGAGTGTGAATTACAAAAGATTGATAATCTATTTATTTAAACAATAATGACGAGAGAGTGTCTTGTCGACTCCCTCTGCCTGTCCAAATGTTTGGATTGAGGACTGTCCATACCTCAGTCTAATATTTGGAATAAGATTAATCAGTTTGGTATGTATACTAAATGCTGAGTTGACATACACTAAGGGACGGGGTGGGCATACATGTTACCCGTCTCTATGAGTTTTGACAGCTGATTTGACCGGTGTTTTCAGTGGTTTAGAATCGAGACATCTGTCATTTACATTCTTTGCATGAAAAGGAAACAGACGTTTTTTGAAAGCATTTTCAAAACAAACATAGCTTTTATTCAATGACATTGATTCAAGTTCCTCAGGCCTAAATCTGTTAGAAACCTTGAACATCACTTTCACGAAAAAACACCTAAGCTCTAGTTGGGAAGGCCAGCCATGCACATCTTTAATATAGTGTGCTTATTTTGTCTTATAATACTATTCCTGGATTTTAATCAAATCATAAATATAAAATCATTAGGACAGCTTAGTGCCCTTAAAGGACAGGATGACGACAATAAGGGTTTATTTAATTGCTAATCGTCTGCTGAAGTTTGCTAGATTCCAACCAAATACATTATTAGCTCACCTGCCCGAAGGGCAAGTGAGCTTATGTCATGGTGCAGTGTCCGTTGTCCGTCCGTCGTCCGGTGTCGTCCGTTCATTTTTCCTTTAAACAACTTCTTCTGAAGAACGGACAGGCCAAAAGTCATGATATGTGGCTGAATGCTTCATTGGAAGGAGCCCGACAAAGTTTGAGAACGAAAATGACCTTGATTATTTTCAAGGTCACAGGGGTCAAATAGTTCAAACGACTTCTTCTGAAGAACGGAAAGGTAAATAATCTTCATATTTGGCTGGTGGCTTTCTGCGATAGAGCCCGACAAAGTTTGAGAATGACCTTGACCTTGACCTTGCCCTACTTTCAAGGTCACAGTTGTCAAATATGTCAAACGCTTCAAGCGACTTCTTCTGAAGAATTAAAAGGTATAGAATCTCCATATTTGGCTGGTGGCTTTCTTTGATAGAGCGGACAAAGTTTGAGAATGATAATGACTTTGACTTACTCTCAAGGTCACAGCGGTCAAATATGTCAAACTCTTCAAACGACTTTCCTAAAGAACTAAAAGGTATAGAATCTTCGTATTTGGCTGATAGCTTCCTCGGATGGATCCTGGCAAAGTTTGAGAGTGAAAATTACCTTGATCTTTTTTCAAGATTACAGGGGTTAAACACTTCAAGCAACTTCTTCAGAGGAACTGAAAGGTATAGAATCTTAATATTTGGCTCGTAGCTTCTTTCTTAAGATTGAGCATGACAAAGTACAGAGTGAAAATGACCTTGACCTACTTTCAGAGTCACAGCGGTCAAATATGTCAAAAACATCAAACGACTTCTACTGAATAATCGAAAGACATAGAAATCATAATATTCGGCTGGTGGCTTCTCACCAAAGTTTGCAAATGAAAAGAACCTCAACTTACTTTAAGTGTCACAAAGGTCAACAACATTTTAAACGATTTGTTCTGAAGAAACAAAAGGAATGGATTCATAAGATTTGACTGGTAGCTTCTTTGGATAGAGCCAACAAAGTTTGAGAAGGAAAATGACCTTGACCTACTTACAAGGTCACAGGGGGAAATATGTCAAATTCTTCAAACAACTTCTGAAGAACCAAAAAGCGTAGAATCATATAATAATATTTGACTGGTAGTTTCAACTGACGGAGTCGACAAAGTTTGCGAGTGAAATATTTATTTGTGGTACAGTATAATATTTAATGAGAATAGTTTACCATGACTGCTTAAATATTCAAGTGAGCGACACAGGCCATCTGGGCCTCTTGTTTATTATCGCTATGATTAGGGAATAAATGAAGGCTGGTCCTGATGTTAGGTCTGGGCCTAAAACAGGGCAATGTGACTGTGTTAATATTGAACTCAACTACTCCGTAAGAATTTTTACTATTTATCACCTATTGGGAACAACTTATTATAAAATATTTACCATTGAACTCCAGTCAGAAACTTGAAAATTATGTATGAAAATCTCAATGGAAATCTGGTTATTCCTTTGTAGGATTATTGCGCATAAAGCCATCAGCCAATGAGAACTTAGCAGTCTCCATGAACATGCCCAGAATTTGCATATCTTGTCTCCCGAATAAGGAATTCGGGTAAGTAGTAAACCAGGCGAATTCATACTAATTCTTATCATTACATCACAAGATATTGCATGGAGAACTATCAGAACCCAGTAGCCTTATTAAACATGTGCGAAATTCGCTAAACATTGAACCGCATTGAGAGACTTTGGTTACATCAAGGAAGTTGGATCAAATTCTATACAATACACGTGTTTTAAATCAGTTAATGCGAATATATAACTATCTACTTACCGTTGCGGTTTTTTGTGGGGGGTTTTTGTGGTAAAATTCCATCCCAAAAAACCGTTATTTCTTACGGTACCAGTCTCTTAGTATCCGAGTCTCAAAGTTTAAGTCTCCATTTGTATCATTGATGTGGTACCCGGATAGTCTTGTCTAAATGTGTGTACCGTAATCAAATACGGTCGTGCATTACATCTGTGTTAGGGTAATTTGACTTGTATTAAAAGAAGAAAAAATTACATTATGAATTGACAAGATTGTAGTATGTGATACACTTTGCCGTTGATTGTACATTGAAATGTATCTGTGGAGCGCGTGTATAGACACAGTTTGCACACCTTCTTGTTACAGGTATTGAAAGAGCCTTTCGCCGCAGCAGGGTTAGGTGTAGGTAGCTTGCTGCTTACCACAAGATCTCTAATGTGTTTAGGTCTACGATATGCCAGTATAGGAGACTCTGGAAAGATCTGCCTAAGTTTCGCTGAAGATCCGATGATGCGCCAGTGCTCTTTCAAGATAGATGGAAGTGGCGGCATGTCTGGGTGGAACATGACTACACAAGGTACCCTTTGTGTATGGGGTCTGACTTTGTATACAAGCAGACTTGCCTTGTCCAGTACCCTCACTTTGTCTATTTCCCGATCTATCAAAGTAGATTTGTATCCTCTGCCAAGAAGATGGGACTTTAACTCTGAACATCTGCGTTCAAAGATGATGTCATCCGAAAAAATACGCCTGATGCGACGTGAGTTGATGTCAGTTTCCGGGAGATTGTGAAGCCCATCGCGGTGGAATTGTTTCATTTGTGTATGTCTAAGAGATGTACGTTTGATGTTTTCGAAATGTTGAGTCTTTTGAAGGTAAATGTTTCTATCATTCCCGAGTGTAACTGAAGTCAGGTGTTTTAAATTAACTGCCAGCTCCTTAGACGCAACAGAAAGTTTACTATTACAAATGCCTTGTAGAAGTTTAGTTTGACAGTGGTTATATATATATATATAGTAGACAATAAATAAATAAGTCCTTGCGAAGGAAAATATAGAATAAAAACAAATTTTTCAGATCGTCCGCTAGGCCTTTCTGCCTTCTAGGGCTTCTTCAGGCGGAATGATGAAGAACCCATTCCGCCTGAAGAAGCCCTAGAAGGCAGAAAGGCCTAGCGGACGATCTGAAAAATTTGTTTTTATTATATATATATAAATCTGATACCTTGAATGCTTCCTGCCAAACAATAAATCTCTGAAAAAGTCTTCTTTCAATTGAATTATCGTTATTTGCCCCTACTCCTCGTCGATACATAATATGCTTTCAAGATATCTCAACACATTGAAAAGAAATTGAAGAATTGACATTGATGAAAACAATTTGATCCCGACATCTTCCCACAACAGTGGTTGTGACCCCGGGTACGAGTACACCTAGACATGTACCTACACATGTACCTACACATGTACCTAGACATGTACCTACACATGTACCTAGACATGCACCTACACATGTACCTAGACATGTACCTACACATGTACCTACACATGTACCTACACATGTACCTACACATGTACCTA